GGTAGTTGTCGCTCATGAAGCGCTGGTACTGCGGCGACCCCTCGCCCTTCCAGTGCCACCAGAACCACTCGCTGCCCCAGGCCGGCACCGAGAACACGCCCCAGTGCACGAACACCCCGAACTTGGCCTGGTCGAACCAGTCCGGCAGGGGCCGGGAGTCCAGACTCGGCCAGTCCGGGGTGTAGCGGCGCTGAGCCCCGAGCGCCCACTCGGCCGCTCCGAGAACCAGCAGCAGCCGCGGCAGCAGCGGCAGCCCGGCTCCCACCGCCCACGACTTCATCTCTGGCGACCACACTCCGACTCTCCGCCTCCGCCTCCACTATCCCCTCTCACCGCGCAGCTGCGGCGCGAGGCCCCGCCCTCTCTGACTAATGATTGGCTCGGTAGGAAAAAGGGGCGGGTCAGCCCTGGCGGCTTGACTACCGAGTCTCTTCCCCTCTTAGTCTGCCAGCCCTGTTGCGCCCTCTAGCGCTTACAGGGAGAAAGACGCAAGGAGGCTTTGACAGCGCTCGGCGGGAGGTCTAATGAACACTTCCGAAGACTTCATGGCGGGGTTCAGTCGTGGGAGTGATTCAATCGCGGGGTGGTAGAAGGCCGGGTGTGTACAGAGAACTGGGTGTAGTGCATTTGGCCGTGGGGAGTCAGAAGGGACTTTCTGAGCTGTAGTACAGAAGAGCAAGCCTGGAGGCGGGAATACTAGATGCAAGGGCATTGTTACAGTCCTGGTAGCAATAACGAAGGAAAATAATGCGGGTAGAAGCATTGTGAGGAGGGAGGACAGTGGGTGCTGAAAGGGGAGGAGCAGGGGTGAGCATTTGGCCTATCTAATACTTGCTTTGGGAATTCCGAAGCCATTCCAAGAGCTTAACATCTAATTGGAAAAATGAGACCCATGGACATACAAACACCACAAAGGAACGTTTTTAGAGTAGCAGGGTAAGAACCTTAAGAGGGCCGAGTCCTACAGCATAGGGAATATAGTAATAAATATTGTAATAACTATGTATGGTCCCAGATGGGTACTAGAATTATCGGGTGGAATCACTTCATACATGATATAACTGTCTAACCCAGGGGTGGGCAAACTTTTTGACTCAAGGGCCACAATGGGTTCTTAAACTGGACCGGAGGGCCGGAACAAAAGCATGGATGGAGTGTTTGTGTGAACTAATATAAATTCAAAGTAAACATCATTACATAAAAGGGTACGGTCTTTTTTTTTTTGGTTTTATTCATTTCAAACGGGCCGGATCCAGCCCGCGGGCCACAGTTTGCCCATGGCTGGTCTAACCACTATACTATACTCCTGAAACTAATATAAAATTATATTGAATGCCAACTGTAATTTTTAAATAAAATAAAAAGAGTCCCAGGCCCTAGGAATACCTGTGTGAACGTTGTCTGGCAGGGCGGTCACCAAGTCCTTTACAACCTGCATGTGCTGTGCATGCTGAGACAGGAGGTGAGGCCATCCATCAGGTGTGGAAAGCACAATGACCCTAAGTGGCACCGCCAGTCCCTACGTATCAGTGGGGGAACTGCAGCAGGGAATTTGGGATCCTCTACACAATCCCCTTTCCCACTCTCTCCATTTGAGGGAGGAGAAAACTGAGGCCCAGAGAGAGGATAGAAGTTGGTCAAGATGATGCAGCTAGTTGAGCTCAGAGGTGGGACCAGAACCCAGGTCTCCAGATGTGGACTTTGTGCCTCTCCACGTGCTGCTTCTCTCTTACACCCCGGAAGGGGACAGCGCCTGTGTTGACAGAACCAAGCACTTCCTCATCCTAGGAGTTGTAAGGAAATCCAAAGGCAATTGCTGAATAAACAGCTATTCCAATCTGCAAGGTACGGCTAAACTATTGTCCAAAACAGTAAGCACAGACACCTAAAAAAAACAAAACAAGCCCATCTTCACACACTTTCTAATGATCAGAGTGATGGTCTTTGATGTTATAGAACTCATCTTGGGGAAGATGAAATGGGACAGTGTGACCTTCATTTCTCCTTAACCTTGTGAAAATTAATAAGCAGAAACCTCTTTTAAAATTGAGTCAGGAGGCTAGAAGAGAGAACTCTCGCTCACATGCCACTCAATGCATACTAACCCCAATAGGACAGACATACCTTGCATCTACAATAGGAAGTGATAGCTACCTGAGCACAAGAAAGAAAAGATTCCTCCTTGCCCTGTAACAGCTCAGCCAATGGGCGCTTGCCATAACTCAGCCAATGAAAAATCTCCATATTTCAAACTTTTAGTTTCCTCCAATGGGCTCTTCATTTACAACAGCCCCTCGGAAGTCCATCAAAGAGCAGTCCTCTCCTTTGTTTCTCTGGATTTGAGCATGGCTTACCATTAGACTGCAGGTCCTGAGTTGCAATTCTTTATTGTTCCTGAATAAACCCGTTTTGCTGGAGAAATATCGGACTGTCCATTTGTTAAAGGTCAACATCCTCATAACCAAAATGCGAATTTGCAGGAGCAGGTGAGAGACACTGTGATAGACTGGACAATATTAGAAGTGGGGAAGCTGGGTTTCTTGCACGAGACACCACCTAATGGGGTCTCCTTGGGCAAGTCTTGTCCACAGTCTGGGCCCATTTCCTCCTCTAAACAATGGGGCAGTTCTCAGTGATATCCAGGTGCCTTATCCCCTTGCTCTCCTCCTTCATAAACTCCAGATCTTTACTTAAAGCTGAAATAGGAGATGGTGAAAGGAGAGAGGTAGAGAGTCTGGAAGTGCATTTAATTCCACGACTTTAGCTCTATATTTATTACAGAAATATTTACTGAGTATCAATGGATGCCAGGCACCTGGGCATTGTCTTTGCTAACATGAGAAAAGAAAGGCATGCCCCAACTTTAAGGAATCACACATTTACCTTTAAAAAATTGTGCCATTTCAACTGGGTTCAATAGTGTCCCCCAGAACTTCATGTCTACCCAGAACCTGCGAGTGTTGCCTTCCTTGGAAATAGAGTCTTTGTAGTTGTAACTTGTTAAATTGAGATGAAATCAGACTGGATTAAGAGTGTGCCTTAATCCAATGATTGGTGTCCTTAAAAGAAGACACCAAGAGTGAGGCGAGCGGAGCCGGAGACTAGACCGGAGGCCGAACTTGGGATCTGACAAGATGGCCGGGCTGCCCCGCAGGATTATCAAGGAAACCCAGCGTTTGCTGGCAGAACCAGTACCCGGCATTAAAGCAGAACCAGATGAGAGCAACGCCCGTTATTTTCATGTGGTCATTGCTGGCCCCCAGGATTCCCCCTTTGAGGGAGGGACTTTTAAACTTGAACTGTTCCTTCCAGAAGAATACCCAATGACAGCACCTAAAGTACGTTTCATGACCAAAATTTATCATCCTAATGTAGACAAGTTGGGAAGAATATGTTTAGATATTTTGAAAGATAAGTGGTCCCCAGCACTGCAGATTCGCACAGTTCTGCTATCGATCCAGGCTTTGTTAAGTACTCCTAATCCAGATGACCCATTAGCAAATGATGTAGCGGAGCAATGGAAGACCAACGAAGCCCAAGCCATAGAAACAGGTATTTAATATTCATTCTCTTTTACACCATCTCCACTTTTTAAACATATTTGTGCTACCTTTAAAAAAACTTCTTTTAGAGTCTTAACAAGAAAAAGGAAATACATATTAAAGGGAGTAAATCAGATCCTGCTTATAATATGTAAATAAATACCTCTTAACAAAAGATCTTCACGCTCCATCTTATGACCTACTTACTACGTGACCCCCAAGTTTAAAGACAACACATAATTGGGAGATCTTGGACTCTTGTGTAACCACGCCTAATTTAACAAATACTGAGTGTCTACTATTCATCTAGCAAATACACCAAGGTAATGGAAAACTTTTGAACTATGAGTTGTTTTTGCAAGCCATTTGATTATTACATCGGTTTATGTAGCTAGGGAGTTGGAAATCAATAAGCTTTTTCTACAGATTATAACATAATTAGTTGGGAGGGCATTATATATCTAGAAAAAAAAAAAAAAAAAAAAAAAGAAGACACCAAGAGACAGAGGGTGTGGGGAGGCTACATGAATACACAGGCAGGGGTGGGAGTTACGTTGCCACAAACCAAGGAGCACCAGAAGCTGCCAGAAGTCGGACGAGCAAGAAAGGATCTTCTGCTTGAACCTCTGAAGGGAGCATGGCCCTGCCAACACCTTGATTTTGGACTTCCAGCCTCCAGAACTGTGGAAGAATACATTTCTGTTGTTTTAAGGCACTTAATCTATGGGAAAATGTTACCGGAAACTAACACAGGGCATAAAAAGAAGTTCATTGAGAAATAATGAGATTTAAGGTTGTAGCAATCTGTACTTCTAATGAAGCTGAGTTTGACTGAACTAGGTCAAGAGGGCAGGCTTTGGAGTCAAAGAGAACGGGTTTGGAAACCTCAGCTCTGGGTCCGTATTAGCGGTGTGGCCTCAGGCGAGTGATTTTGCCTCTTAGAAGTTTCCTCATGTGTAAAATGAGGATACCAAATCCTCATCAGGTTACTGTGAAGCTAAATGAAATACCTCATTTAAAAGTACTTACCCCCTCCACCCCCCAAATAAAAGAGAAAAGTACTTAGCCCAGCCCTGGCCTGTGTTTCACAGTGGTTAGAGCACCAGCCTGTGCACCAAAGGGTTGAGGGTTCGATTCCCAGTCAAGGGCACGTACCTCGGTTGCAGGTTTGATGCCTGGCCCCAGTTGGGGCACGTGCAGGAGGCAACCTATTGATATGTCTCTCTCACATTGATGTTTCTCTCTCTCTCCCGCCCTCCCACCTTTCCACTCTCCCTAAAAAATCAAAGGAAAAAAATATCCTCAGGTAAGGATTATCTAACTAACTAACTAATAAATAAATAATTTTTTTTAAAAGTACTTAGCCCAGTGCCTGGCCCATAGTAAAGACTCACTACAAGTCAGCCGGCATTTATGACCAGAGCACCTAGTACAGTGATGGCAAACCTATGACACGCGAACTCATTTTTTTGGTTTATTTTTCTTTGTTAAATGACATTTAAATATATAAAATAAATATCAAAAATATGTCTTTGTTTTATTGTGGTTGCAAATATCAAAAAATTTCTATATGTGACACGGCACCAGAGTTAAGTTAGGGTTTTTCAAAATGCTGGCACGCCGAGCTCAAAAGGTTCGCCATCACTGACCTAGTAGGTCTACCCTACCTAAAGTTGCCTCAATTAATCCTTATCACATGACCCAAACAATCCTTGATTTCTTTCATTGTACTGCCCATGTTGGTTTTATCTATTTATTTATTTACTCTCTCCGCACCAGAATGGGAAATGTAAGCCCCATTAGACAGGGGCAGAGTCTCATTTATGGGTGGACATCCAGGCCTTAGCACAGACCCTGGCCTGTATTATGAGATGGGTGAATGAGTGAATGAATAGTGGACACCCTGTCTTATAAATTCTTCAATGAAGACATGTTTAATCACCTTCGTCCATTTATCCTGTCTTTGATCCTAAAGACCTGCGTTAGAATTCCTTGCAATCCTCCTGCCACCAGCATTTCTCTTGCCTTCTATTGTAAGCCCCTCTGCTAGGAGCTCAGATGGCCTGAGATGTAAAATATGGTGTCCTGGGCTCTTCAAAAGCGTGGGCTGTATTCTCGCTGCAGATAATGGACTGTGGGATGTCCACCCTGTGCCTAACACGTAGTAAAGAAATTTCCCCTTCCTACTACTGGCTCTGTTTATTATTTGTCATAGGGGTATGGAGGAGAGAAAAAGGCCTGAACTAAGAATGAGGGAGAACAATTTGAGGATTTATCAAATCTTTGTGACTAACTTCCTTTTTCTTGGAGTTGGGTTAGACTGGGACACTGCCTGCTGCCAGTGGTGCCACCAAGTAGGACTTCACAGGGTCAATAAAATTCTCTGAAGAGTCTGTGTCTCAAGTGACCCCAGCCTCCATATTCCCCAGAGACCTAAGAAGTCACAGCTGCTGTGAGTGGGGATTATCATAACAAGATGCCCTTAACTGGAGGGCTGTCAGCTACCTCTGAAAGAGGTGGGATCCACACCCACAGTCCTCATTGAGTCATAGTTCTTGGTCTTTAGTGGGAGAGGGTAACCTAAAAAGGTCCTCAATGGGAAAGGGTGATTTAGAACCAAGAAGGCCCCAACAATTAAGCGGAGCCGGCGGGAGGACAGGATCAGGTAGAGCACAGCCAGGTTCTCCAGGGCGCTTAGCAGGCCCAGGGGGGTGCACAGCACGGCAACAGCTATCTTCTGCTGACTGCTCAGAATCATGTAATTCTTCATGGGGTTGAAATCCAAGCCATCCTGGGAGCCGTTGGCTGCCTTCATCACTGAGCACCTCTCCATGGAGTGAGTCCTTTGGATTCTGCCGGGCTTGCCAAGAAGTCTTTGCTGTAGTACGCGGAGAAGAAATGAGTCTTTTTCAATCAACACTGTAATGACCTCACGCAATCTCTGACGCCAGCCAAACCTTTCGGGCTGGCCAAACATCCACCCATACCCTGAGATCCCAGAAGAATCTGTTCTTCTCAAACTTCCTCTGAGCCCCTCATTGCTGAGCCTGAAGGTTCCCTCTGGCTCCATGGTCTCTGGAGAATGCAGGCACGAAGCCATCTTGTTGAGGAGGTGTTCCTGACCTGACATGCGCTGAGCCTGTCCCAGACGTCTTGCCTCCTGCCCCCGTTACCACTCCCAACAGGGCCCAGCTGTGTAGATAAGCAGGACCAGGCACTCTCCAGGATGCCAACTCTCATCAGCAAAAAAGTGTAGGCGTCAAGGCCTCTGGGGCTGGTTCAAGTAAGAGGAGAAGGTCAAGACTGCTCTCTCTCCTCCAGGAAGTGAAATGATTTCTGACTTGTTTAGTTCAAAACTCTGAAGGAGGCCGCATCAGCAGTCAGAGCAGTATGGACCTCGTGAATCTGCCCACTGTGTGGCTCTCCCATCAGCCTCTGTCTCACTGACTGAGGACCTCGGGGCGTTTTCTTTTCCGTCAGGCCCAAGGCCTCTCAGGTGCTTCTGCCAGCAGGCCAGGCGGCGGTGGGCAGAGGCGCGGATCTCCCCGCTCCGCAGGGCATAGATGATGGGATTGACCATGGAGTTGACAAGGCAGAGCAAGGAGCAAAAGGCAAAGACCTTCTTGACCTGGTCACTCAGAGGGGTGGCCAGGCTATAGACCATGAGGGCTAGTGCCGGGAGCCAGCATATGAAGAGAACAGCCAGCACCACCCCCAGGGTCTTGGCCAACCTCACATCCAGCCTCATCCGGGTCATTCCTGGCACCTGCCCATCCTGGTGCTCAGCCAGGCTGGCTGCATGCTGATGGGCCTTCCAGAGGACGTGCCCGTAGGTGTAGATGATGCCAGAGAAGAGGAAGGTGATGAACAGGAGCCAGCTCAGCAGATAGTTATTGGGGATCAGAGGGAAAAGCTCAGAGCAGGGACTGGGACAGCAAGTCCATCCCATGAGGGGCAGGTAGGAGACCAATGCTGAGAGGACCCACGTGATGCCCAGGGTCACCAGTGCCTTCCCACGGGTGAGTAGGGCTTTGTATGTAGGTGGGTAGCGCAGACAGAGGTAGCGGTCGATGGCGGTCAGCAGCAGGCTGCCTACAGAGGCTGTGAAGGTCAAGGTCACGCTGCCAATCTTCAGCAGAAAGACAGGCTTGGAATCCACGCCCTGAAAGACGTGGAAATTTACAAAGTTGCAAGCAAAGACTACACTGGCCAGGAAGTCAGCGGCAGCCAGGCTGCTGATGAACAGGTAAGAGGGCTTCCTGCGGAGCCGGCGGGAGGACAGGATCAGGTAGAGCACAGCCAGGTTCTCCAGGGCGCTTAGCAGGCCCAGCGGGGTGCACAGCACGGCAACAGCTATCTTCTGCTGACTGCTCAGAACCATGTAATCCTTCATGGGGTTGAAATCCAAGCCATCCTGGGAGCCATTGGCTGCCTTCATCACCGAGCACCTCTCCATGGAGTGAGTCCTTTGGATTCTGCTGGGCTTGCCAAGAAGTCTTTGCTGTAGTACACGGAGAAGAAATGAGTATTTTTCAATCAACACAGTAATGACCTCACACAATCTCTGACGCCAGCCAAACCTTTTATCTGTGCAGATGAACATGTTGAAATAGCAATCTATATTTTGTTCCTCTCTACTTTGCCTCTTCTCCATTCTAGTGGGGTACAGGTCTTAGGGAGAGGTATGTGGAAATTCAAGAAGCAGAAGTGGCCTGCAAGCTTTTGGGCCTTTTGTTTTCAAAAAGACTAATCCTAAGACTTCCCTTTGAAAGTAAGGTAAATCTCCCATCCGCAAAAATCAAGAGGAAGCCGAAACCGGTTTGGCTCAGTGGATAAAGTGTCGGTCTGTGGACCGAAAAGTCCCGGGTTCGATTCCGGTCAAGGGCATGTACCTGGGTTGTGGGCACATCCCCAGTAGGAGATGTGCAGGAGGCAGCTGATTGATGTTTCTCTCTCATCGATGTTTCTAACTCTCTATCCCTCTCCCTTCCTCTCTGTAAAAAATCAATAGAATATATTTTTTAAAAAAAGTGGAGAAAAAATCAAGAGGAAATCAAAACCAAGAAAAATGGAATCCAGAGTGATCAGGTGGAGAGGTTTTTGCCTTAGTGTTTTGGGTTTTTTTGCAAGTTTTGGTAAGTAAGATGCTGAAGTTTAAACAATTATTTAGGAATGGGAGGCAAGACTATGGCTTCATACCAGTAGGTTGCCAGATGTCACATAGGAGTCCAGATAAATTTGAATGTCAGGGAGTAAATCATTTTTTTAGTATAAGCATATCCTAAATATTCAGGAAAAAAATCACCCAAATATCATATGGGACATTATTGGAAATTATCAGAAAACAAACTCAAAATTTCTCTAGAGGGATATGCTTTCTATTTATTCCATTGCTTATCACACACGATTCCCACATATAAAGGCCCATGGAATTTGAGCTCATAATGCAAAATTACAAAGTGCATAAGGAAACATGAATACGAGTTAGCAGACATGTCAGACAGTAGATTCAGACTTCCAGGCACTTCATATAATTCTTGGGCATACATTATAAAAATGTTTAATATTATTAAACAATACAGAATCAAAAACATGACTACATAATGAGTGACTGGGCAGATTTGAAAAAGGATCAAGCAGAATTTTGGAAGTGAAAAATAAAGCACTGAAAAAAGAAACCTTTAAAGGCAGGTTCAAGAGCACAAATGACTTGTTGAACAGCATGGATCTACAACAGGGATGGCGAACCTTTTGAGCTCGGCGTGCCAGCATTTTGAAAAACCCTAACTTAACTCTGGTGCTGTGTCACATATAGAAATTTTTTGATATTTGCAACCATAGTAAACCAAAGACTTATATTTTTGATATTTATTTTATATATTTAAATGCCATTTAACAAAGAAAAATCAACCAAAAAAAGGAGTCCGCGTGTCACCTCTGACACACATGTCATAGGTTCGCTATCACTGATCTAGAAGGTATATCTGAAGAAATTTCTCAGAATGCAGCACAAGGAGATAAAGAAATGGAAAACATGAAAGAGAGTTTAAGAGACATGGAGGATTGAATGAAAAGGTTTAAATATATCTAGTTGAAGTTTCAAAAGGGAAGAATAGAATTGATGGTGGGCACTGGGGAGGCAGTATGCAGAGATGATAGTGGAGAGTTGTCCAGAATTCTCCTGGACATGACTTCCAGATTCAGCAATCACAGGGAACTCCAAACAGAATTTAAAAATCAAACTAATTCCACATTCACATATCTATACTAATAAAAGGGTAATATGCTAATTAGACATTGAGACCTTCCAGGAGACCTTCCAGACGTCCTCTGGACAAAGCCATGGTGGCGGGGCCAAGGCAGAGGCAGTTAGGGGCAATCAGGCCAGGAGGGGAGGGCAATTGGGGGCAAGCAGGCCAGCAGGGGGGGGGGCCAGTTGGGAGTGAGCAGGCTGGAAGGCAGGTGAGTGGTTAGGAGCCAGCGGTCCCAGATTGTGAGAGGAATGTCCCAGATTGGAGAGGGTTCAGGCCAGGCTAAGGGACTCCTCCCCATGCACGAATTTCATGCACCAGGCCACTACTCTCTCTATATAAAGGCCTAAGTGACCTTTCAATCATTTGACCAGTAGCTATGACACACACTGACTACCAGGGGACAGATGCTCAATACACAGGCATGGAAACATGGAACTGACTGATGAATCTCAGAGGGAAGGAAGAGATTAACCAAAGATCTTATATGCATGTGCACTGGTGGAGTCCCTCAGCCTGGCCTGTGGGGATCATGCTGAAACTGGC